GGGTGTTCCTCCTGGCTGGCGAGTTTCTTTCCGTTCACGAAGGTACCGTGCATTGATCCACCATCTCGAAGATGGGCAAGCTAGTTGAAGGATCATTAGCCAAGGCTGCCCGGGTGCTGAGACGGTTGCTCGAGAGACGCGTACCTTCTTATCCAAACGTACTATCAGTTGAGCATGGTTTCTTGACATGACTCGCGAATCGAATAGCCCATTATCCTTGCAGGGAACGAGGTTCTTGGACTCCCGCTTTGACGCTCGGCCGATACAAACATCGGTAGTATCAGGTGTAAACTTGAGAGATCGGCAGGGGAACTCATCGATCGGAGTCAGCGGACGAAGGTTAACAACAGCTAGTGATATTGATAAGTCAGCCAGTGATTTTCGGGGGTGTTTTGAAACTCGTTGAGATCCTCGAGCTCTTTTGAAGTGTTCGGGAACTCGCTGAGATTCTGGAGCTTCAGAGGCTTTCAGGAACTCGTTGAAACCCTGCGAGAGCTCGGCGAGGTTCTGGAAGGTGGATTTGACTAATATGCCGGGGAAGGAGTAAGCCAGTCCAGGTGAACACATACCTTCTGAGACGAGCATGATGTCAGTTTTCTAGAGCCGATCGCTCCAAGCGCTATCGATCATTCAGCCTAGATAGTTGTAGTACTCAGTGGCTGTGTTGAGATCGGTTTGAGAGAGAGGATGATGATGATGATGATGATGATGATGATGAAACAAAGATGAGGAGTTGGAAGACGGGACGGAGACTCGAACAGGCTGAAGAGGGGCAGGCCACCACCTACCCGATGTAATCAGCCCGAGCACAGTCAACAGGCGGTCGCCGTCCAGGAAAGAACTGACAACTGAATGATCGGACCGAAAGAATCAAATAAAACACCAAGCTTCAAGGGAAGTGCAGGGGGTGCAACTTGGTGGGAATCCAGAATACGCGGTTCTTGCTGATAACTACCTAGGTATGTAGTTCGATTGATGATAGGGAGGGGGGGAGGGGGGAGGGGGGAGAGCGAGGAATGGAAAGGAAAGAGGAGCCCAGACAGCTGATACACGACCAACAATGAAAGATCAAAGCAGTCCGGTATTTGACGGATCGGAATTCCAGTACCAGCAGTTTACTGAGTAGAAACACACACAAGCGGTGGACCAGCACAGCAATGAAGTACTGTATTGAACGACGACGACGACGACGACAGCGATAATGGATACTGACGGGAGAGATGGAGAGAGGGGCGATCACTGATAGGCGGATAAGTGGGGGCTTCCCGTCAGGTGGACGAAAGAACAGTCGAGTCACAGCGCGGAATCAGTGAGGGAGACCAATTAAGTCATCAATTTGTGAGCTGGAGGAAATTCCGGGGCTTATCCGGGAGTCGGGACCACCTCCCGTCGTTCCCTTCATCCCTTACAACACCAACTGGCACGGACTAGACTATATACTACTTACCTTTTGAGGGTGCCACGCACCTCCGAAACAGCTGTGTATACCACCAGAACTCTCACAGAGCGCGTTCCTTATCCAATTATACATCAACGGCCCATAAGAAACTTATACGATTTTGAGTAGGTGCTAACTCCTTATATAAGAATATATTACTAATTATTCTTTAGTTATAGTTAACTTACAAGTAAGCAAAGTCTCTCACGGCACCCACACAAGCACGCGAGCAAGCGAGGCCTCACGCAGCACCTCTGTTCAAAGTGCTTGAAAAGGTGTAAATACAGGCCCTACTGGGCCCGGTAAGGGCGCTTCAAGTTTACAAGACCTTGGACTAAGGAGGCACCCGCAGGTCAGGCCCTCGTATGTAAAATCCAGCAGTGCGTGGCCTCCTCTACAGACTATCTTGCAGACCAATTATCCCTTCGATCCGTCACAAATTACAACGATAAGAAGAATACATATCAAGTAAACATCCTGCTTCCTTTTCTTCATCATCATCATCTTCTTTCTGCTACTGCTCCTGCCTCTTTCACAGTACTATAATACATTGTCGTACACTTCTCATCCGCCTCCCTTATGACAGTCGTCCAGCCGCAGTATCGACACGCAGTCATACCAGGTATACCCCACTCCAGAACGTTTCAAAGCACGGCATCTTCTAGGCCATTCTTTCTTGACAAAAGAGCCCGGTCCGCAACCAGACATTCATAGGGAATAGGAAACCCGCCTCGATACGAGGAACATCCTTTAATGACACACAATTGCAGAAGTAGTAAGGAAAAGCAGCACCAAACAAAAGAGATCCATACACAGTATATCAGTGGGGAGAAAGATTAACACAGGTCGTAGAATAAATACACACAGTGGATGAGTGGTCCAGGCGCCCTAAAAACACCCTCAAAAAACCAGGGTAGAAGATGACACAACCAGGCACGGATATTGCCTACAACACTCGGTGGATCGGAAAGAGATGATAACGACGGTGGTGGAAGGTGGAGGAGGACGATTAAGTCGAGATCATATCATAGGTCGGGTTTACAGACCGGGAGCGCCGAAGCCACCTCCGGCACTCATGCCTTGCAAACGGGCAGCAAGTTGGGGGTACTTCTCTTGCACCTCCAGCTGCGTGCGAGTGGCCTCAGCGTAGGAAATGGCGTTGATGATCTCAGCCTCCGTACGAGCGAGTTCGGCAGCGCGCTCGAAGTACTTGAGGGCTTGGGAGACCTTGCCCTGCTGCAAAAGCAGCTGAGCCATGGTACCCACAGCAATGTCGCACTCGGGATCAACTGTCATGGAATTAGTATTGAGTGGGCGCAGGGTATCATGGTCTACCGTGAAACTTACTAATCAGGGCCTTCTGGCAGAGGTTCTCGGCCTCCTGGAAGTCATGCTTCCACTGGAACAGCGCAAGGGCCTTGTTAATGAGGGGCAGGACATTGATGCCCATGGGCTTGCTCTGCTTCTCCATCTCGACAGCCTTGTCGAACTTCTCGATGGCCTCTTGGAAGTTCTGCTGGTCAAGGAGAAGTTCACCGTAGTAGTTGTAGACATCGGGAACATCCTCGAAGTTCTTCACGGATCTGCGGAAGGTGGCCATGGCGGAAGCGACAGATCCCATCTTATACTGAGTGACACCAAGCTGGATGTGCGAGTAGATGAAGGTACGGTCGAGATCGATGGACTTCTGGTAATCCTTAGCGGCCTCGGCGAACTCTCCAAGGATGAAGTGGAGCTGAGCGCGGTGGTAGTAGATATCAGGGTCGTCCTTGTTGTGGGTAATGGCAAGTTCGAAGTCATCGGCGGCAGCATCCTTGTTTCCTGCATAACGTTATTAGACGTGCAAGGAGAGACAGCATTAGTTGTAATCACGTACCGAGTTCCAGGTGCAAGCTGGCACGCTTGATGTAGCTCTGTACCAGAGAGGGCTGCAGCTCAACGCTCTTGTTGAGATCCAACAGCGCAGCCTGGGCATTGCCAACCAGGTAGGTGAAAGTAGCTCTCATGTTGAGGGCCAAGGCTTCGAAGTCGCCGAGATCACCAACCTCGAGGGCCTTCTCAAACGATGTAGCGGCCTCCTCGTAGCCATCCCCAGTCTTCTTGGCCATCGCAATCAGACCCTTGCGCAGAAGGCCCTTACCAGACTCTTCGCTCAGGTCGGCGGACTCGTCGAGACCTTCCGGAAGAGGCCTGGGGCGGAAGCTCTGAAGGTAGTTGGACACGAAAGTGGGGCTAGGCAGTTTCTTGCCCTTGGCCTCGAGGATATCCTTGCCCTTCTTCTCAGCGACCTTCTTCAGGAGTCTCTCGAGGGCGACGCGGCTGATCTCGTTGGCGAAACCGTCGATAATGCAGCTGGCGGTGAAGTCGAGAAGAGCCTCGCTGTACTGCTCGAGGTGCTCATAAGCGATGGCGCGGCGGTTCAGGGCCTTGACGTATTCGCTGTCCATGGCGAGAGCGGCGCTGGTGTCCTCGACGACCTTCTCCCACTCGGACAAAACGTTGTAGCAGGCAGCACGGTTGGAGTAGAAGACAGGGTCGGGCTTGCAGATGATGGCCTTGCCGTACAGTTCGATGGCCCGGTTGTAGTCCTTGGAGCCATAGGCCTTGTTTCCAGCAGCCTTCAGCTTGGCAGCGTAGGCCTTTCTTGTCTGCAAATTTGAGGGGGATACAATTAGCAAGAGTATTCAACCTCCATCTAGCACAAAGGATGATCGCGCACCTCCTCAGACAACTGCTCAACAGTAGTCTCGTCAACTTCAGGGATCTCATCGGAAGGCTCCTCTGCCTTCTTTGCGGCTGGCTCTAGTGGATCATCATTAGCCCGTCCTTCGAAGGTCGACCGAGATCGGAGGATGTATATAGACTGGACATACCTTCCTGGACAGAGGCAGCCTTGGCCTTCTTTTCCTCCTCGGCCTTCTTCTTCTCCTTCCGTCTCTGGTTCTTGCTCTTCTTCTTTTCTGTGGGGGCGGCAGTGGTGGTAGGGCGACCGGAATCGGAGAGGTAGTAGACGACACCCGCGCTAGTTACGACCACGGCGACACCGGCGATGGTGTAGACCAGAGCCTTGTTCTCCGACACCCATTTTGAGATGCGATCCCATACCGATGCTGAGGAAGAGGCGGGGAGGGAAGTGGTGTCGAGAACCACGTTCTTCGTTGGCTGGGGCAATGGTGATGCGCTCGACATGATGACCCGGCAGAGGAACCCGTTATCTTAGTCTGGTCTCTTTTTATCTATAATTCTGGGAAGGCGAAGTTAGCGCTGGAGACAGCGGTCAGATAAGAGTCAGTAGCGAGAGAGACGGACAGTCCTGGGTGCAGGGCAAGAGCTCGTCGGCAGGATGACTGCTTTGCTTCGTTGGGGAGGGGGGTGGAGATGGAAAAGAGCGAGGAGAGAGAGAGAGAGATGATGCCGTTTGAAAAGTTATGCGTTGCGATGTTCCGGCGACGCAGCGGGCTTCCCGAGCTCCTATGGGCCAATCACGCTCGCGGCAAGGGGATGCTCCGTCAGCTCCTGGTTCGCTCCACCACCGCATCTTCGTCATTCTCTTGTTCCTTGATCCAGCGCAATTTGCTACGTGGAGAGTTCCTGGTCTCGTCAGACACTGATTGTTCTATCTGTACTGAACATATTTACTCAGAGCAACACTGAACCTCCGTTCTTAGCCAAAGCTACTAATAGTGCAGGATCTGGCGGAAGTGGTAGACCACGCGATCGATCAGGTCACTCCAGGGATGCAGTCAATGGCTTCCGCCTCGCAGGAAGAGGACTTTCAAATCATATCGTCTCTGCGCTATGATCCTGGGCTTCGAGATTTGAGCACCAAGAACGCCGCGAACACCAATTTTCACCCTTCCAGCACGCCATACTACCTGCTTCCCTACCACCAGGCACGGCTTCGTAATGCAGCAGAATGCTTCGGTTGGGAAGAGGCTCTGTCATTTCTACGCAAAGATCTCACCCACTTCTCTCAGTACCTTGATGATCACATCTTGGACAAGACGAAACCTTGGCGCATCCGGATTGTCATTGATCGCACCGGAGCTTGCACTGTCGAGATCAACCCGACAGCATCGATTGACCCATTGAATATGCTTATTCCCAATCGAGATCATACACAATCAAGCCTGTGGAATGTTTATGTGGATACAGGGTGTATAACTCCATCCTCGTTCACGAGGCACAAGACTACCGCCCGCGATTTCTACAATGCTGCACGGGTCAGAGCGGGGATCATGTCCCCATTAGACCAGGCGGAGGTGCTGCTTGTAAACCCCGAGGGTCAAGTTATGGAAGGGAGCATCACCACACCCTACTTCCGGCGCAGGCAACCTACAAGTAAGGGCGAGAGCCTAGAAAGTGATACGGAGCCAGACTGGGTCACGCCTCCCCTCTCGAGTGGTGGTAATGCAGGCACAACGAGGCAATATGCGTTGGGTGAAGGATTCTGTGCCGAGCAGATCATTGAAGCTGCTGACTTAATCGATGGCGAAGAGTGTTGGCTCAGTAACGGTGTCCGGGGCTTCATCCGTGGTAGAATTGTCTTGAACAGACCCGGTGATGGCCAATGCTAGAATCACACAATCGTCAAGATTATCTCCGTATGAGCAGAATGTTTGCAGAGGTGAGACTCAAGTGCTCTGTCCAAGAAACTGCAAACATTACCGTTTCCATTCTCCGCTAGAGTGCAGCCATCCTAGTTATTCCTTCGAGAGGTCAGTACCTTGGGTCAAGGGAGGCATCATATACAGTTGAAAAGAGGAAGTAAATGGGTCACAGCGCCAGCGGCTTTCAGTACAGCGTAGCCTCCCAGGAGGTATAGGGGGTATATACATTTGGATCAAACGAGGTACTACCTAGGAGTATTGATGCAGCCCATGCATCCAATAAGGAGTTGGCAATTGACGTCAGCCGCTGCACCAGTCGTATGAGGATGATAAACGTGTCTCCCAATCAACACCTGGCATCTGATGGTGTAGAACATTGATGCAGCTTAAGACGCCGAGGGTGTAAGTCTCGCCATTCTCATAGGCAAATCGCACGGTCGCAATATGCCAGCACCGGGCGTGTGATTGGTCGAGCAGGTGGGAGAATCAGATGATGCAACGATTGGCGATGCGCAAGCAAATGAGTCGGCATCCCCGCATTCTCAAAAAGGCTTAGCCGAGAAGCTGACAGAAATTCTTCCCAGTCCCGGAGGTTCGGGCAGTTTTGTCCGGCCACTGAAAGGTGATTGAGCAGAACGGAGAGCTGATCATCCCCAAAACCTTACTGACTGTGTTTGAACTTAACAAGCAGTCTCGCCCACAACCACAACGCCACCCCAAGCCCAACTCCCAACTAATTCACAATCCCATATATCCATCCCATTCATCAGTCGATCTTATCATATCATCTCTCAGATCCAATCCACGATCCATTTGTCCGTCTATTCATCCCCCAATCAATTCGTCTGTATGCATCAGCAGCTGCAAGAATGAAATTCTTCGAGAATGTCTCTACATACGACTACTCCTTCCCAGCCGTGTCGCTGGCTTACTTCCTCCGCTATCCTAACCCGTACTCTCGCCATGTTCTAACCACTGATGTCATTGACCGTTATGTCGACCCGGACACGAAACGCCTCCACACCATTCGCCTGCACCTCAAGAAGTCTAAAGTTCCGTCGGGGATTCTGAAGTTGCTGCCAAAGGGAATGGGCGGCTCGGACAGTTCTGGACAGAGCTACATCCTCGAAACGACCATCGTTGACGTCAATGAAGGCTGGATGAGGACTGAGTCGCGCAACATGGAGTGGACTGGGATCCTGAGTGTGGTGGAAAAGCAATTCTACCAACGCCAGCCGCTCGAGGGGGCTCTCGACCGACTTCAAGGGCTTCACCTCGACGGCAAGTTAAGCGAGCAGACGACAGTCAAGACAACGGTCACGTTCCACTCTCGATTCGGGCAAGGAAAGTTACTAGGCCGGAGGAAGGCAGAAACCGGTGACCAAGTGGTCGAGGTCGAGGATGAGGCTCCCAAGAGAGGCTTCTTCACGTCACTATCCACGGCAGGCATCCAGCGCACGATTGAGCTGGTCGGTTTGAATCGTACCCGGGACGCTATCCTTAAGAGTAAACAAGGCATGAATGTCGTCCTGGAACGTCTGCGCAGCGGTGGTATTGTCGGTGTCCTTGAGGGCATGCGCCAGGACCGAGAAGCCATTGTCGGGCCGGAGGGTCCGTGGAAGCGCGTTTGGCTCAGGGGTAACGGGGATGATGATGAACATTGACGTCGAAGCGTTTGAGTGTTGGTCAAAACAACTCGCTTCCAAGAAACATATTTTCGACATTGCAGCGTGGAGCTATGGCGTTTGGGTTTCTGTTTCTATTTTCGTACTGATATCACCTGGACACTCTCCCACATGATTATTCTTTCCTCGCTTTTGATTGACTACCACTGCTGTTGATCACCATCTCACATCCTCACACCAGCATATTTGAGCACATTTTTTTTGGCAGGGAAAAGAACACGGAAAGCACATGGAAAAAGTGCTGTGTATACTAGGAAACAATTACTGTCTATTACACCAGAGACACTCTGTACAATATTGATAAACTGGAGTCATTCTTCACTATCACCTTCATTGAGAAGTTCCATTTAACCTGACCTGCTACTCAATCCAGCCTGTGTCACTGAGCTGAGCCCTGATGTATACAAAGTATAGACTGTCTGCCTTACCGTCAAGTCAATCAGCCTCAATTTGCCCTCATACCCCCCTTACATCTGCCTCACACCTCCCTCATACCCACTTCACACTCCTCTCACCCCACTCAACCCCATGCAGAACATCAACCCCAGAAACAGCAGCCCAATTCCCAATCGGAGTCCGGAGTATAGCAACGCACAGCAGACCACAAAGCAGAACCACTTGTGTAACACCCACCCACCCTATTCATTTCAGTTTGATCAACAGTAGTACAGTACACCCACTCAAACTCGAACCCCATCACGCACCCTCAGTATAAACCCCCCCCCCCCCCCCCCCTCCCCATCAACTTCACAAGACCAACCTAAACCCGCCCACCAAAACCCAAGCCCACACCACCTAAAACGCAAAGCCCAAATGACCCCAACAATCGACAATCTAACCGGCAGCTGGACCCTAGCAAGTACTCCCACATATTCCCTCTGCCCATCCTCCCCCTCCTTAACCAGACATCAACCCACAAAAACTAACCACCCACCTCCCCCGAACCCTCCCCGGAGAGCACGGGGGAAAGGACCGAATTACCAGGACAAATCCCTCTCCAGCGATTTGGACCCAATCCTCAAACTCGTACGCATTGCCCCCAATCCCACCCAGCCACAGCAGAGGCCACAGGCTCCAAACTACAGTTTTAGAGGACCGAAACTGAACCCTCACCCTACCGCGACAAAAGCAAGGCATCCCCTGGCTCCTCCGCAAAACTATCCTCTTCACCCCGCTCACCATCCAAATCACCCACCACACCGTTACCACAAACAACGCAAGCGGTCGCACAACAATGCACCTCACCGCCCGCCAAACCAGCATCAAGGCCGCCAACCCGCCACCGGATATCCGGCACTTCGATTGGGAGGTTTACGAGCAGGAGAATTTGCTGTTTGGGGGGATTGTGTGTCGGAATCGGTATATTAGGGGGGACATCTTGGTACCTGCCCTGACGGAGGTAGGGGGAAGTGCTGGTGGTGGTAGTGGGGATGGGGTGGTCAGGCCTGCGGTGGAGGTGCAGAGTCTGCTGGAAGATGATCTGGGTCAGGCGGTTGTGAGGAGGTTCTTGAGGGGGGAGGTGGAGGTTGATGGATGCACGCTGTCTGAGGGGTTCCTTGTGGAGGAGCCTGTGGTTGGGGGGCTGTTTGGGGAGGAAGGTCAGGGTGATGGGGAGGGGATCTGGGGGCATGTTTTTGATAGGAAGAAGGATGGAGGGTGGTGTTCTGAGCAGGTATGTTTGATTGATGTTCCGCTCCCTTTACTCTGGGGATACTGCTCTGTGTTGGGGAAGAAGATGGGTCGCAAGGCTGTTGGCTAATGGTTGTGGAGTGTAGGTTTGGGGATTTGAGATGATACATGGGGAGAGGTTGTATACCCGGCGGGCTGTGGTGACTAACAGTACTGGGGGGTACGGGCTGGCGCAGTTGGTTTATAGGTTGGTTGAGAGCTGAGTGCTTTGCGTAGAAAGCACATAAGCTCAGATCTTATGGGTTGGGTGGTGGTAGGTGAGGTTGTAATGGCGGCTGGTTCTGGCTGCACTGACTGTACACGCTGCTGGCGTCTGGGAGGTCTTGTCTTGATCTTGAGATGTAAGAAGTGTATGCAAGGCGAAGTTATTGACTCTCATCCTCTTCTAAGCTTAGATGCTTCATTGGATGAGTCCTAGACCGTGATGATTTACTTTCAACAATGGTCTTGCACGTTACTGGTTTGAGCTTGATTTGTGACATACGCTGAGCGCCTGCCTTTGTAGTAAAGTTGATATGATTTACTGTTCACTTGATAAGAGCAAAGATGCCATCTAGTGCCTGCAGGCATCCAAGGTACCCTTGCCGAGGTCTTGATGTTGAACATATCGCTACACACCTTGCAATCAGTTCGCTATACGGTAGTTACCACGTTCTCTCTAGCCAAGGGATGCCGAATCAATAAAGCATCAGCTGCACACCCCGAAACACATAGTCAAACCATCAAATCATCTACTTGGTAGACGGTGTAAGCAACCGTCTTATTTCACAATGGATCCAGCACAACTCTCACGGCTGGGCCGAGACATGAGATTTCTACCTGTACCCGTCGCGACCGATAATCTCGAAGAGACATTGAAGAAGTTACAAGACCTCACCGAAGTGGCCACGCAGGGCAACAGTCTAGCACTCTTCACCGGGCTGGAGCTTGTCGCGCTACCCACGCGAGATCCGGAGAAGCTGGCCAAGGAACAGATGTCGCCTAAGGAGGTCCTCCTCTATGAGGCATGGAAGGCAAGGAAGCCAAATCCTAACGTCGAAGAAAGCCTGCTCCTGAGCTTTGACTGGACCGCGAATGTGGCTCCGGTCCCTCAAGGCGCGCATAGTCTGAAGAAGCTCACCAAGCGGGCGGCGGCCATGGATGTGATCTTCGATCATCATGACGCTACGCCGGAGAACGCTGCATGGCTGACCTCGCGTATGCCGCAAACACTGCCTCTGGTGAAGGCGGTCGCCAAGGTCTCCAATTGCAAGCAAAGCCTCGAGCAGCAGAGGCAGGCGCACTTTCGCGGGCTGACCGACATGGAGGCCGCGGAGGTTGAGACCATCCGCAAGATTGTGGCCGTGGCAGAGGTCAACACAAACCGCGAGCTGGAAAGGATGCGCCGATTGGCTCGGTCGATCAGAGAGTCTGCGTCGATCATCAAGTCCCGCGCAGAGGCTCTGCAGGAATCTCGAGACCCTGTCTCAGCTTTACATGGGGAGGACTGAATGGGGTCCGTTTCCAGAGATCATGATGAATCATGAAATTGGAGGAGGGTAGCAGACGCGGGTGGTCGGGAGCCTGGAGAGTCTTGATAAGGGCTTGATAAGGCGAAAGGGGAAGACATCGATAGAGGAGAGTGGATGGACACGTCAAATCGAGGCTTGTACTCCGGAAGTACTCCGTAGCTATTATCAAATGAATGGCAAAACTCGGTGCAATCCATGATACATATTGTGCAGTACCTACAGCACGATACACATCCAATGCCCTCGAATCAATGTTTTGAGCCAATGACGCAAGGTTCAAAACCACTTATACAGAGCCAACCAACCCCCAAGCCTCGCGTTGTTCGGATTGAGGCAGCTGTGGACATCATCGGATATTAATCTGGGTCTAATCTGCCTGAATCCGCATAGCCAAGATCCGAAATAGGGAAAGAACCAGAAAGGACCCTGTCGGTCAACAACTTCCAGGCTACGAGAATCTCCTTTCCTTCCAATCAATCCAGTATTCCCTTTCCATTCCTTCTGACTTCCGGTATTTCCAGCTTTGCTCCATTTTCGACCGCTAGGCAGCAACCCGGCATTCTTTGTGTAGCCGAGCACCTCCTTGGGAACTGACGCACTGGACAACAGGTGATCCAAGGCATGACTTCATACCTCATACGGGAGGTCTCAGCCAGGAGATGAGTGACCTTTTTTGTCTTCTCTTGACAGCACTTTAGCGACTTGCGGATCGAAATGTTGAGGAAACGTGGTACTGGTATAATTTGGACCCCTTGCCCCTGACCACTTCATCCAGATTATCACCATCTTCCAATCAGTACAGTATCGCCAGGGAAAAGAGACGGTCTCTACGGGTTACATTGGTTGACAGTGCACACAAAGTGTAGAGGGCAGCTATACGCGTGGGTTTTGGAAAACTGCTTATTGACCAACAACCGACTCAGCTAGACGTCATATCGCAGCATCGCTCTTCCAGTCCTCAAACGGCGAGTCCAGCACTGACTTTTGCGCTTGAAAAGAATTTCTCGTATTCGGTTCCGTAGGTTGCCGTTGCACGCCGACGGGGACCACTCGTTATCATCATCAGTGGTAAAATGAACGAGGCACTAAGAAAGCGGCGGGATTTCCTTCACCCACTTCTGCCAAGCTTTCAGGGTTTTGAGGTAGGCCTACTCTCGAACTCATCGCCTGTCTCCTCAGGACCACACCACTGTTCCAGGGGACAGCAGCCCTTCGTCGTACAAGCGAATTGAGCATGACTGGTAGCCTTTACAGACAGCGCTGTAAAGATTCGGTTCTCCTGGATGCGGACAAACGACCCTGCAGAAGGGCCAACAGCATCAGTTGTGAGAATCACAGGTGGCAACAACAAGCTAGAAGGTTTAGCCTGGAATGTCATATTGTGACCATTTCCACACTAGCGAGAGGAGCGCCAGGCCGCTAGCAGCACCAGCAGTGGTGCGTTGGGCCTGTTTCCCGGGCCACATCTACTGTGTACTGTACCATACTGTCCCCAACACACTGGACGGGAACATTCGCATTGAAGAGCTCCATAGCGCAAAGCGGATCAATCCTCCGCTGGCTCTTATTCTGGTGACATATTGCAAGACCATGAGCCCGTGAAAGCCTGACTTGATATCTGCTGACTAGATACAAGGCATTCCATTCGACTTACACAATCCGGACCCAGCAAGCAGCACCAGTGTACATCAAATCTGCTGCGAGATATCGTATACGTATTAAGGTTTAAGAGAGCGAAAGACACATTTCAACCCCAGCACGCTGCTTGACAGCTGGAACTAATGCTAAATCACCAGACGCGGACTTTGATCAGGTAATAGAAACCTCGAATGAACACCCTGTACTGGAGATGAGAACAACACAGGACCCACGCGATGCTGGCTCGCTTCCGAGTGAACCGTCACTGTCTCTTGACAGGCCCGAACCAACTCTCATTTGATTGCGTACCGAAGTGCATGACTCTCGATGATTTACATTACGGTCCGAACAAATGTAAATCACTGTGATGACATAATAGTCGAAAACTGACCCAATAATGGGAACGATCCCGACCGTCTATCGCTGAGCTGCTATGGTTCAAAACGCCAACAGAGACATGTTCAGAAGTCACCTACACAAAATTTCAGTCCTCTGTTTTGTGTAGAATGAAGCTGAGATTAATTCTGCAGCCAGATGTGCTCACGGAATAGCCTCGGGGTACTTGCCTGCGGAATAATAACTTGTCTCATAGTAATATTTCCGGGAGACCCTGGATGCGTTTAGTGAGGGTCTGCAGCCACGAACTAACTAGTCAAGTTCCAAGGCTCTGACCACGGAGGTCGAAGCCCAGCGGATGGCCGAGCTTTGGTCTTGGCCAGCAAGTGCATACAGTTTACTTCAACTGGATGACAACATAGCATTAAGTCAGAAGTTAGTGTCGCTGCTCACCGAGACAGTGAGTGGTACGAAGTTAGGGTAGAGTGGAATCAAATACCACCAGCTCGGGTCTGACTCTGATCATTGGCAAAGATTGTCGGAGACTGAAGGGCAGACAGACAGGACTTGGTGGTACCGAGCGTTAGGACGGAGTTGATGAGACTTTCGCACTAGTTTCCACACCTGAGATTAAACACTGACAATTTGATCAACTTGATCAATTTGATGATCTAAACAGGTGGGCGGCCGCTACGGCAGGGTACTGGACCCAAAACAGTAAGGCACAATTGGTCCTGCGTGACAAGAATAGACTAGACCACACTAAGCCTGGAGACCGTGAGACCCTGAAACCGAAAAATGATCGTTGTATCATCATCATCAAGCCCGGCAAAATCACGGGCATTCCACAACGCTTTGGGTATTAGGCCAGTTCCGGATGCAGGCAATCCTACCTTTCCTGTTGCGGAGCTGCTGGTGATTTTCAGGGTTACACTCTTCCCCTCTTAGATCATACTGAGTTCAAAGATAGCTTTTCAAGGCTTTGATCATTTTTGATCATCATTTATTTGAATAGGTATTGTCAGGTAAGCATAACCAAAGGGGAGAGCGAGAGAGGAGGGGATAATCCGAGATGTTATAATCCGTACGAAGTACAGTGCCGAACCCCCGAAAAATAAAATAGAAAAAGAAACAAAAATAAAAGTTTGACTAGCTCGGAGCTCCTGTTGCAGCGGTGGCTGGACGATAAGGCAACTCATTGGCCCCTGAAGACAGGTTGAGGGAGCGGCGCCAGAGCCGAGAAATGTGGCCATTTGCCCTCAGTGACTGGCTATCGGCTGTGACCCTGGGGCGGGATGACCCTACGGAATTACTGCTTTGGGTGCAGTTATGCGGGGACTGTGACCAGTTTATACCCTGTTAAATCAGGTAGACTCAGGTAGATTCAGTTAGATCCAGTTAGCGTCTCCACTTCTACCACGGCCAAGAATACCTCCCAAGGGCCAGGGAGCAACCGGAAAGCCAGCCAGGCACCTCTTGAGGCCAATCCATGATCCGGGCCCACACGCCTTGTTTCACGGGCAAGACACCTTAACAGTCTAGTCTAGCAGTACTTAGTGGTCTAGCAAGTACGAAGTAGGGACTAGTTGATTCCCCTAAGGGAGGAGTCAGTCCCTAAGACTAAGTAAGAGTGGAAGAGTCTCACGCTCTCTCTTGGAGACCAAGGGCAAACCGTCAGAATAACAGTCGACCTGAAGGGCAAATTCACCACCCATCACCACGGACCCTACCTCCGCTTATATCGTCACACCCTGATTACCCCCATTACTACTACTAACTAGTTACATCTAATAATCTAATAATACCGACTCATTCTCTTTCCTCTGTCCTCTGTCACCCTCCCTCCACCTTCCACAACCCCCTCTCTCTCTCAAAAACAACCAACCCTCCCTGCGACGGACCAACACCCCGTCCGTCTCCCTCATCATCTCCTCACCTCCTCCCTCGGATTAACGCAGGCCCTGACGCCAGGGTCCGTTTGTTGCTTTTGAACGGCCGATCAAAGCTGACTCAGTCCTCTCATTCACCTGCACCCATTAATCCGTCACGAGTCGCTTGACCCATCCTCGACCGACCTAATCTCTCATTCCTTTTCCTCAGCGCTGGCGAAAGAGACTTCCCTACGGTCGGCTTTGTTTCTGGACTGGATTGCCAGCCCATTAGGACGTGGTAGCAACCGGAAACCATAGAGGAATCACGAGGAAGTTTAGTCTCGCGATCGGAAAACACCGAACTCCACCTATTGTTGGTTGGATCACCCTTCCTGGCTACTTCGACCCATCGCGCGCAGTTCTGGCATGCTTTAGGGGCGTTGACCTCGGAACCATCGCGTGTCTCATTGTCGGTCAGCATCGTCACTTCTGATTGTCGACTTGATTACGAGCATGCTTGTCGCCCTTCCCGCATCTGTTCGGATTATCTGCTTGGTCTTGTGACGTAGTTAGGCCACCTCTTTCTGCGAGGACGTTGTCCGACCGTCGACGAGATCAAATGGCAGTCTTTGATGGAATCGGGTCTTCGTTACGACCCTGTCTCGCCTTCTGGATAGTGCTGGCGACCATCATCAGCCCTGGAGCTTCTCAGTTCTGTTCTTTCTGGAGTGGTAATTGTGTTGATGCGCTGGCACAAACCGCCGTCTCTTTTCAATTCCCTCCGCTCTTCACCGACAACCTCAACCTTTACTATGGATTCGATGCCAATGCGCGAGGAAAAGGTCAACAGCCCATGACCAAGGTCAGTTATTGGCTCAGCTATGGAGGCAACATCGACAACTCCATCATCATGGGAAACCACACCACCGAAATCGGCTTGCGGGTGGGCAATTTAACCGGCACACCTTCGGGGTCCAACAATGGGTGCGATGGCGTCTGGGGCCCGCAATGCTCCACCGACCTGAAGGCATTATTGACCGAGGCCCTCTACGGCCTCACCAGCAGTGGGGAATACTATACATTTCCACTGCAAACCGTCCTGAGCCAAATGCTTTTGAAGAGACCCCACCTCCCGAGTTGTTTCCCGCAGCTGTTCGACGTTGGTGGCATCCCTACTATGGGTACGTATCGCTGCCGCTCTGTCTGACTGTATCTTATCAACTAATCCCACATGCAGCGTTCGTTCAAGAGACTGGTCCCGACCAGACTGCGACGTTCCAGACCGCCGGGTCGAGCAACAACCCGTGGAGGACATGGTTCCTCGACAACATGACAGCCCATGAGCAAGCTGCGCAGGTCGCAGTTGCCATCATTAGTCGCGCGCCTGCGTACGATGGCCTACTACCCCAACAGAGTGGTGATGTGCAAGTGGAGCTTGTTTGCACTCAGGCCCCTTCTTCCGGGGGCTCCTCATCTGCAAGTAGCGGCTCATGAGACCTCTGCATGTGGTTACTTGGTTCCTTCTCCCCAAGTTCTGATGCCTAGAAACACCAAGGCATACAAACAACATCATGGCCTCTGTGCCCTATCATTTATGACCGCCGCGCACGGTCATCCATTGCGCACAGTGTCCGGTCGCTCCGCAGAGCTGTATTCTTATGGCAATGTCGCGGCAGCTTACACCTGTTCACTCGACAAGCTTGAACTTGCGACCTGGACATTCTATGAAAGGGACACTGGGCGAGATTGGATGTCTACAACATGTGCCGACAGGCAGCTGGTCTCAGATTGGTATCGAGGATTGCGCCTTCGAATACCAGTGAAAGGCTGTCTTTTCCGGGGCTGACCAAAATCAAGCCAGATCCATCGGCGAGCCTCTGCTACGACCGGACCATCACCAAATGTACTTGTGCTGAGTATGATGTGAATAGAGCGGGATGCTTGTCGGACGCTCTAATAGTGAGACCACGTTTGACAGGGCCTCTGTCGGCTAGCCCAGGGAGTAGTCTCGTGTCGGCTTCCATCTTTAGCTGGGTTCTTGTCAAGCCCAAGTCGCGGGCGCTATTGATTCAAAGGCGAACTCTGAGCGGCACACATGATCAATATTAACATGAGTCATTAATATGTCAGATAACTGAGATCAGAACCCGCAACCCTATAACTCCCAAACCTCCCAACACCAAGATCCATATACTGTACATATGTAATCACCTGTCTTGAATCACCTTCACCTTCCCCCCCCTCAACCCCAATCCCATAACCCCCCGGACACCAACCCCTCCCACTCCCCCAAGCACCCCTAAACCCTACAAAGTAGGCCACTCCATCTCAATGCCCTCCAACTCGCCGGGCCCGCGAAAATCCTCCAGGATATCCGCCTGCTCACTGAGCAGCACCCGATCCGTCTGACACCCGACGCGCGCCAGCCCCCGCCAGCGCTGCAAGTCCTCGGGGTTGCGCTTATCCCCCTTGGCCTCGTCGTTCCGCTCCCAGTGACCCTTGGAGAACGCGATCAACGTCGTGATCTTCTGGCGGGGGATGTCGAACACCAGTGAGCAGATGGTGCCCGTCTCCTCGAGCCAGTTGCACTGCCACAGCTCGCCCGGCCGGATGCACTGGTAGCTGGCGGCCTGGTAGTTGCGGCGCCCGGCCATGGGCCCGCCGTGGATGGCGTAGACGATCCGGTCCTCGTTGTAGAACCACATCTCGTAGCGCCATTTCTCGGGGCGGCCGGCGGCGTCCTGCGCCGCGTAGTCGTAGATCAGGTGGCGGTCGCGCAGGTCGGTGGTGAAGTGGGCGGTTGTTTCGGGGGTCGACGGGAGGGCGGGCATTTTGGGGGGAGGTCTGTGTAGCTTGAGAGGTTGGGGTTGGTAGCTTCAGGTAGCTTCAGACGTTTTGTATGTGGTTGGTTGGGTCGGGTTATCTGTTGAGATGTTGTTTTGTGGTTTGTTGGATGGTGGATATGGAGGTGGGAGACTAAGCAGGGGTATGTCTGGATTATTTATATCTACTATTTGCAACCTCGATGCTGTATGGCTTGTACAGTACGATTCTGGAATTGACGAGCGGGAGTGTCGTGGAAGCTTCGATCTTTCCACCCCGGTGCATATGTAATTATAGCCCTTTGTTTTCTCTCTCGCTCGGCTTTTCGTCTCGGGATTCTCGTGTCGGATGATTCGGGAAGGGTGTGATGATGTCATACTCTGGGTTTCCGGCCTGTAGGGCTGGCTGCTGGCTGGCTGGCTGGCTGGCTGGGTGTTATGGGGCCTCCTCAAAGGAGTGGTTGTATACTTAGGTGGTGTACCATTGACGACGTTGTAGTGGGGATGGCGCCGGGGATGGGTTTACTCGGTTGGGGTGAGCGGCAGTTTTCGGCCGGGTTGTGCCTAGGCTTGAGGGTTTGCCTAGGTTCACTCCACTGATACGTTATGTTCGTAAGGTGCATGGTGGATGTTACTGAGTATTTTATGGTTGCTGCTTCGGTGTAGTATTCTATGTCGATGTGTATTTTCAGTTGGGTTGGGCGATTTGTGTTCCATTGCAGTTTGGTGCGGAATCAGAGGTTGAATCTTTAGTAGAGTTGGGATTCGGAGTATTGCATGATTTCAAGTCACTGTCATTCGCTGTCGCATTTGACTATACGATACATATATCCATAGCGTGACTAGGTTCTAATTGTTGCTGGTGATAACGAAGGGCGCCTCAATTCTTAGCCCTCTGCTTCATTACTGCTGAAGCTATGAAGCTACTACGTGAGTAGTGCGCACCCACGTGGTGTTGGTTGCAGGCAGAGAGCCAAGATGGTCCAGGCGCTGCCGCTCGGCGCCTTATGCGGGGCGAATTGCTCACTAAACTTCTACCGTCAACGCCCGTCGATCTTGCCAAGCAAGTAGTCTCATGAGCCAAATTTGCTTTCTCTCTACGGTTGTTTTGTTCCTGCAGACTTGCTGGCCATTTTTGTTCCTTCTGTTGGAGTTGTCAGCCCTTGCGGGTCTCACACCGCACAATGGCTGACATGCTGCAGGATGCTGTTGATTTTTGCTACAGTGGTGTAGGTGGGAGTACTAAATTCTCTGTTTTTGTGGCAAGGCATACTGTATATTAGTATGAGATTCGATGCTGTGCTGATTGCAGCTGCTATCATGGCATGTTTGTACCAGTGTGTATATATGCTACAGCACCGGAAATCGGCAGCGACTGGTCTCGCCCTACGCTCTAACCCGCTTTGCTTGACGATCAAGCACGGGAGTGAGTGTTAGAGACCATATAGCGAAAGCTATACAGTCCATCAATACGCTTGCACTAGCACTGAGTATATTCCTGTGTGGCAAGTAGGAGTTTAGTGGGACCAGTCCACAGACCGGAGTGATCGATCAGAGCACTCGGCGGCGCTTGCGCTGCAGTCATCGAAGGATTCCAGATCGGGCTGGACCTCGTCGAATCTGCGACTACCACTGGCGCTTACCGCTGTAAACCGCTCGGACAAATCCCTACCGGGTACTCTCTCTGCTACACAGTCTGTGGCTATCCAGAGAGCTTAAATATGGGCCTTCCGGTATAGTTCGGGACCAACGAGTCATTGACCAGGCAGGGCGATCAGTGCTCCAATACTGCATGCGTCACTTATGGGACTAGAACTCACTTAGCTCCATGAAAAGTCAATGGACCAGTCCATAGCTGCAACATTTAAAGTTTGCAGTTCCACTGGGGACGGAGACCCGAAGCTCATGAGAGAGGGATCGGGATCGAATCATAAGCGAAGCTGGACCGATGTAGCTGGACACCGTCATGTGTGACGGCATCAGCGTTTCATATCGGATGAGGGCGGGAAATATGATGGGCTTGACAACGGTTGACTGCAGGAGAGCTGCCGGTCGATTTGCTGTGGTGTGTCGAATGGTAAGTGAGCCCTGACCATCTGTGACCATTGAAAAATGCAGGGAGAGCTAATTATACTGCTGCAGAAGCGCCCGAACTGCGGACAAGACTTTTGGGTATAGGCAGACATTTGAGTCGACAGACTCTTTTTTTTTTTTTTTTGACACATAAGAGTATAGAATTTTTCTCCTTCGCTCCTCCCCACTATCGATACTACTTCACACCTAACGACGTTGGATACTTCCTCGGGAGTGGTTGAATAAGCGATTCTGAACCGAAGTGTGTGGTGGTGATTTCATCTCATGATCTTCTCCCCCTCCCCGCTAACTTACCCTGCATGACGTAGCAAACACAGCATAATCGTCATCGTCGGCCCGTCCGAACATTCCGCACTTAAGCAACTATCCCCTCCGACCATCTGAAGATCCACCCTCAGCTTTATTAGACGGATCAGAAGTCCGCTGAAACACGATCGATATCTTCTCGAAGCTCAAGTGACTGTTGCCCGGGGCATCCTTATCGCTGTCTCACCCATTTCAAGACGAACTAGCCTATCAGATTCACCGGAGGATCTATACCACCCGTTTTTATACCTTCACAGCTTTAGACTCCATTCAAAATGGTCGGAAAGGCTATCCCGCTAGGCCTCAGGCTCTGGGAGGTATGTTGCACACTCTATAGTGGGCGATATCAGGATTTCGTGCCAAAGCACTGCAGCAGCGAGACTAACCGCGCGATGCTATGAATATAGTTCCTCTGGACTCTCCTTGTCATGGCCTTGATCGGTAACATGATCGCCGAAGCATTCGCAGGCAACCCTGCCACCGTCAACTATGCCATGTTCGTTTCGGCATTCTCGATGTTCACCCTCTTCTACACTATCCCCGCAACGCTGAACCCCGACTGGGCAGTCCACCCTATCTTCCTGATCGTCATCGATACCCTCAACGCGATCTTCTTCTTAACTGCTGGTATTGCTCTAGCCGCCAAGCTGGAATGCCACAGCTGCAGCAACGACGTACGTAACACTTAACAGAGCCGCAAGGCCTACATAAGGCCACCCCAGAATAACAGGAACTGTGAAACACATGCTAACTCTGCGATGATACAGAGCTACACTCTCAACAATGAGATCACCAACGGTGCGAACAACCGCGGAAAGCGCTGCCGGGAGGCTCAGGCCTCCACCGCATTCCTCTGGTTCGCCTGGGTCGGCTATACCGTCTCCCTGGTCTTCTCGATCATGGGCTCGCGCTCTGCTGGTGTCAACCTCCGTGGCCGCACTGGCCCCGCCCGTGGTGCTCGCCCCAGCATGGCCCAGGTCTAAGCGTGCGTCGAGTATGTCTGTCGAACGGAGTCAACACACTGCTCCGCCAGTGTTTCTCTCGGCAGGCGGCGGAAGGCTTTGGACATACAGACCTCGGGTCATAATGCAAAGGGACAAACAAAAGCTAAAATGAAACGGTAAAAGGGAAATGACTCACGACTCTCAAGGGACAAAAAACGTATGGGACGCAATATGAGCCATGATGCTATGCTCAAGAATGACAGTCAGAGTACTTATCTGATATCTCTCTCTGATGGCCGGGCGCTGGCTGATGAGATCCAAATATTTGACCGTTTGAAATGGTAATTATACTGGGTTTTATTTTTGGTTTATGTTAATGGCTGGAGGCAGGGAAGGAAACGGGGCTATAATTGGTAGGATGGATTGGGTGGAGTTGACAGTCCTTTATCTTCTTTTGATGTTTATCTGTTCTACTATGTGACCGATAGTATGTAATACTTGGATCTAATACTTGATGTTATACCGTGTGACTTTCATTTCGTGGGTAATTGATGCCTGGTTTCCCAGGGCAGTTGGTCAATGCTCTAACTCCCAGCAATAATAAATCTGTAAGCGAAGAGGCTAAAGCAGTCATAGACTCCAGCGAGTCTTAGAAGCCCCATGGTGGTTAACAGATATTATTCTGTACACTATGATTACAACCTGAGTAGTCCCATTGTCCGGCAGTGCTCTTGTACTGTGTTGGTGGATTGGCTGTGAAGCGAAACAAGATCAATATCTCATTTACTCTAGCTAGCAGTTTTCTATACTAGTAACCTTTTATATCACTTATATATAGTAAAATACTATCATTGTGAAAAATCGAGATATAAGCTTACTTCATCCCTGTTGATCTCAAGATAATCCAAGCTTTATTCGAGATAGTGACGAGGACGAATCTCAACAGTGTTGTATAAACAGGACTGTATATCATTAGCAGTCATTGTTACGAGATAGTGTCGAGGGAGCCTTAAGCATTCGGGGTATAGGCTCCCTACTTACTTTCATAAACACATTCGAACCGATTAGCCGAGCATAATACACTATTGTGTTATTATAATATGCTATCTGCTGATATGACTTCTACTGACTGATCCCCAATGGTGAAAGAGTCTCGATTGGGAAGGGAGCTGGCTCCGGGGGTCGATTGATGCATGCATCGGGAACCAAGTCGGCCATCATTCAATAATGCTTCAATAGCAAATTCCCCTGACATTATTGATTTGTCTTCCGATTGAGAGCGTCTACTGTGAATACCTCAAGTAGCCACAACAATGAGGGCAAGCAAGCAACGGCGGGGCACCGGTGCGGCCCGTGCAAGAATTTCTCCAGAGGCGGCGGAATCTCCCTCTTCCTTCCACCTCCTCGTGGCCTTTCTTACCCCGATCTCAGCTCCTCTCTTCTTTCTCCCCCCCCATACCATACCATACCTCCTCCCAACTTAAACCTCTCAATCTAACGAACAATGGCAATCCAGTGAGATTGATCCAAGTCGCTTCTCTTCGGAAAGGCCGCTAACCATGTCCCCCTTAGCTACTTGATCCTCCTGTCGCGGCAAGGCAAAGTGGTTCGTGGCCCACCCAACTTTTGACCTGGCTGGATCGCGGACTAATCGAAACAAATTTCCCACTTCCCAGCGCCTTGCCAAATGGTTCACCACTCTCTCCCCCAAGGAGAAGGCCAAGATCATCAAGGATGTGACCCAGCTGGTCCTGTCGCGTCGCACCCGCATGTGCAATTTCCTCGAATACAAAGGTTTGTCGTCATCGCATCCAAGCTCCCCCCCCCTCCTTTTGTCCCAGCCACACCACCCCGCAGCTCCGGATTCTGACCTGGGGACTTCGTCTCTCTCTTTCTCTTCTCAACAGACACAAAAGTCGTCTACCGTCGCTATGCCTCCCTTTTCTTCATCGCCGGCTGCGCATCCACCGATAACGAGTTGATCACCCTCGAGGTCGTGCACCGCTACGTCGAGCAGATGGACAAGTACTACGGCAATGTTTGCGAACTGGACATTATCTTCAACTTCCAGAAAGCATACTTCATCCTGGACGAGCTGTTGCTAGCAGGCGAGATGCAGGAGAGTAGCAAGAAGAATGTTCTCCGGTGTATCAGTCAACAGGACAGCTTGGAAGACATGGAGGTACGTTGATACTTGTTCTGGTTTTCATCCCTGTCCCCTTTTCCACCGGGCGGGGATGTGAGAAGGAGATGCAGAGCTGGAAGGGGATATACGTATATACCCTTTCAGCTTCATCTCATGAAACCTGCTCTGCAGTCATGATCGTCTTCAATCCGTTGCCCGGACCCGGTGCCCCTTTTCGCTGAGCCATGTCACGACTCGGGTTGCCCATCGCTGTGGCATCCTTCGCCCTCCTATTTCCGCCACACCGGCCTCTCACCTCAGGTCGCCCTTCTCTTATATATGCTAATGCCCCCCCTCAGGTCGAGGAAGATGTGGTTACGAAGATCATGTAGAAGCTTCTCAGGCAGTCAAGCGTTTCCGTGTTTCTCTTGTTTGGGATAAATCATGATTTTCTGGGCCCCGGGGGCCAGCTCTGTTGGCGTTGGACGTACTATAGGCGTTGTGTTCTACTGTCGCGACCTATTTCCTTGTCTTTTCTTTTTCTCATTTTCCCGACTAATTTAATACCACCCCATTGACACTTATGTGCTCGTCTTTCAGGAATCCAAGGAATTGCTCGGCCACCTTTCCCAGGAAGGGTTGATCTGAAAGACCAGAAAGTCGGAAAGTCGGGCAAGTCTGGGTTGGCCAGTCTGGGGCAATCCGTGGTTCAGCCGCAAGACCCGTGAGGAAAGTGCGTGATATCACTGGCCGCACTGCCTCCTCCACGTGACCAGGGCCTTCCCCCTCCGGGGAACAACGCGACACCCCGGCCAGGCGATCCCCCAAGTGCCGTATCATTGCGACACCTCTCATCCCCCATTCCTCCATCTCTTTCGTTATTTCATCTTTTCTCCACGACTATGCCAATTTGGCCCACAATTCCTGCCTGTTAATCGCCAGATTTTCCACTTCACACCCTGCCAGCGTAGCTTGGGTACCATCTGCCAGCTCACTGCCCTTATCGCTGCTTGCGTGACGTCTCAGGAGACCAAGAACCAACCAACAAACGCACTGTGATTCCAAATAGTTGAGGAATTCACCTTATTTCTACTGTCGCAATCGGTAGTCTTCAGCGACATTGATACTCTGTTCTCTCTCTTCTTATCTCATCACCTTTTATCGTGATTCTTATCTACGTCATCCGCTCACCGCATATCTGGCCCCAGATGAAGGTACAACAGTGGTGCCTGCCGTGCCATCCAAAACGCTCTCTACGGAACATTGATCGCTAATCAAGCTTTCTGTCTGAATAGTTCCTTCCTTTGCCCGAGTTTGAGGACGTGACGAGTTCGCTGAATTTCGACACCGCCGACTGTCATATCGTTGGCGGCTGTGACCTATATACCACCAAGGCCGCCCGAGCGGATCGGAAATTGTACAGGAATATTGAGCAATCGTTGGAGTCGCAATATGAATCTGTGCTTCGCCTGTCAGCTTCGTTGTCGCCGCCGAACGCATCCGACGCGGCCGCGTCGCTCAACCTGTCCCGCTCCAGTCCCTTTGGCCCCCTGAGCGACCACTCCAGCCGCCGAACCTTTGCATACTTGATCGCAACTTTGAATGCCAGCCATCCCGACTACGACTTCTCACATGTTTTGCGCCCGTCTGATTTCCACCGCGAGCGCAATCTCAAGAGGGTCATGAACACGATCGACTCCACGTTGTTCAACCTGCGACCGCGCGAAGCCATTGACCTGACACCCCCATCGCCTGTGACCGTCTCCGGATCTTACAACGCGGGTGCATCCGCTACATGGGGGCCGAAAATGTGGGGAGTTATTAATGAGCATATGTCGCTGAAAGAGTGCTCGTTGTATTCCTACTCGCCGGAGGAGGATCCGTCGGACGCCGATGACGGAGCGATCTGGAGTCTCCACTATTTCTTCTTCAACCGGCTTCGCAAGCGGGTCTGCTATCTTTATCTCCGAGCCATCCCGATATTGAGTCATACCCCCAGTGAGGGAGTGGCTACGCCCACGACGAAGCGCACATATGATGACGGATACTTGACCCCCGAACTCAGCTCTAGCAAGCGGGCTCGCTATTGGCTGGGCGAAGGCGTCGAGCTCGACAGTGAAAGTGACGAGGAGGATCTCTCGAAGTCGCATCATGCTGGAGACGAGTACGATCCATATGTGCTCAGCGACGAGGAGTTCCGATCCCGGTCCGGTAGTAAGGGGACCGTTCGGGCGATGAGCGAGGAAATCGCCGACTCGATGGAGGTCTGATTGTCTTCTGCTGATCTTGACCGCACTTTTGCAGCCTTTTGCGCTGCTTCTGATTCTTCTTCAACCTTGATCATGTTCGGCTTGCCGCTCGATTCTCTCCTACTACGTCCGGTCAATCGCGTTGATCTGTGTTTGTGTGTTTCGGCGTTTGTTTAGTCACTGCATTCAACCTGCATTTACATAGGCTAGGGGCGTTATAACTGGCGAAGGAACGGATCTGGCCCCTAATAATTTGCGAACGGCCGTTATGATGATGACAACGATCAGGCACTGCGTGGCCCGGCGCGGCGCGAAGGGCAGGCTCCACGCCGGCATTCCTATGGTCTTAATGTTCAGTTCGTGTATCTAATATAAATTGACTTGCGTTGATGGGGGTTTCAGTTCGAAATGATTGCATTTTCTGGTTTGAATATGAGTAACAAACAGGTATAAAATCTACTTCACCAAGAACTTGTATAGTACATAAAGATAGTGAGGACGGCAGCCCGACCCCAAGTGGTCTGTGCGCGGACAAGCTGTCCGTTCCGAACAGCATTCATCATATCCACTACCATTCTCCTCTTCCCTCCCTTCAATAACCTACACCGACTCCTCTCCCCGATCCATCCTGTGCCCCATCATGGCTGACGACGAGGAGCGCATCAAAGCTGAAAAGCTGGCGGCCGCCAAGAAACGGGTATGTTATGTGCTCCTGTCCTACGAGATCATCCCCGATGGCCTTTACCTCCGCGGAGGATTGTGGCCCCCGTCCAACCGCGCCCGCGATTCATGTCCAGACCAACCCCCCCTCCCCCAAACGACTAGTCTACGACAAATTGATTCTGTGGGATGACTTGTACATGTACTAATTTTGTTGGGTTGGGTTGGGAATAGGTCGCTCAGCTCCAGAAGCAGAAGAAGAAAGCCAACAAGAAAGCTGCGGGCAGCACCGATTCTCCGAAGGCGGCGGCGCCCGAGACTCCTCCCCCTCCTGCTGCTGAACCCTCACCGGTTGATGATGCGGTATCAACGCCGGTATTAGCTTCGGATACTCCGGCGGGGGCGGAGGGAGCTGATGATACCGCCGTCACCGCCGCCGCTATACCTGCTGAGACTGAGGCTGCGCCTGAACCGGAACCAGAACCAGTCGCCGCAGAAACGCCACCTGCGACCGGGGAACCAGAGGAGCCTACCACTACGACCGAAGAACCGAAGGAACCTACACCGGCGGCGGAGGAGACAAAAGCGGCGGAAACAGCAGAACCCGAAGATGGAGTAGCAGCAGCAGCAGCAGCAGCAGCAGCACCGCAGCTCGAAGAACCACAACCGCTTGCCGCAGCAGAATTCCCACAAGCATCCCCCAGCACCGAACCGATGCCCGACGCGCCCCTCACGATGTCGCCGGATAGCGAAGACGTGCCGCCCTCCGTGCCCGGGACGACCCGACTCGACGCCCCGCCGACTCGTCCCGCCGGCCACGGCCGCCAGCCTTCGTTGTCGATTCAGTCGAAGATGCGGTCGTCATCGTTCCGGAAGGGCTCGGTGTCGCAGGGGTCGCTGTCGCCGTCGCCGTCCGCGCCCGTGGGAGGAGGAGGAGGAGGCATGCTCAAGTCGCCTTCGTTGCCGCCGTTGAGTGCGGACGGCGAGGCGGTACAGGAGGTGTACCGGAAGCAGTCGGCGCGGATTGAGGAGCTGGAGCGGGAGAATAAACGGCTGGAGAAGGAGCGCGAGGAGGCGACGGGCCGGTGGAAGAAGTCGGAGGATCAGCTGGAGGATCTGCGGGAGACGAGTGTGGATGCTGAGGAGTTGAAGGAGAAGTTGGGCAGGGCGGAGGAGAAGATTGCGGAGATTGAGGAGTTGGTGAGTTATTTTTCTTTTCGTATCCTGGGAAAGGGTTGTCAGATTGGGATTGGAGCCCATTGACTAATTGCGTGGGGTTTTGTGTCTACTTAGAGAGCGGAGATTGCTTCGCTACAGAGACAGAACTCGCACCTGCAAACGCGAACGCACCGCAATAACGCCAGTGTGTCTGCGCCGGGACAGTCCGAGTCGCCGCCGGCGGATCTGCTGAAACAGCTCGAGTCCAAGGCCGCGACGATCGAGGCCATGGAGCTGGAGATCTCAAATCTGCGCGCGCAGCTCTCGTCGCAGTCGACCTCGAGCAGCGCGCATGAGGCCCAGATCGCAGCGTTGGAGGAGAAGCTCTCGACCGGCGAGACCGCGCTGGAGAAGTCTCAGCGCGAGCTGGCGGATACCAAGGCGGCGTTGACTCGTGCCTCGGAGAAGGCGGTCAAAGAGGGCGTCGACAAGACTTCCAGCGAGACTCTGATCAAGAGCCTCCAGCGGGAGGTGAAAGAGCTGAAGCAGGAAAAGGCCGACGCGGAGAAGAAGATCGAGACCCTGGAGAAGAAGCTCGAAGCCATGGGCAACCTGCACCGCGAATCCGAATCCCGTCACCAAGCACGACTGCGCGAGAGCGAGAAGGTGGAGAAGGAGGCCGCGGTCCTGCGCAAGCGACTCGCGACCGTGGAGAACGAGAACCTCCGCCTGAAGGAGGAGCAGGAGACCCTTCGCAAGCGCGAGGCCGGCGGAGCGGATGACGATGCTCTCGACGAACTCGAGGACGAGGAACGCTCTCGCCTGCAGCGGCGGATCCGAGATCTGGAAGGGGAGGTCTTCGATCTCCGCCGCGGCGTATGGCAGGAGAAGCGCGAGGAGCTCGCCGGCGGAGCCGACTACCACCCCTCCTTCAGCGGGGACCCCGACTCCGCGACTGCGGCGGCGGCGAACACCTTTGACGACGTCGACTTGATCGGCGGATCATCGGCCGACCACGCTCGCCGCCGCAGCATGGCCCACAGCAAATCCCACGGGCAGCACTCATCCTTCTCGACTGTGCTTAGCAGTGGGATCGCCGCGTTCACGGGCGGGAACACTTTCTACGGCAACCGAGGCCGCGCCTCGTCGAACCAGCAGCCCGCTGGGACACGCGGTAGCTTGGAGCTTCTGTCGGAAGAGAACCTGGATGACGAATTCGATGAGGCGGAGTTCGCGCGTGCCCAGGCAGAAGAGGAGGCTCGCAAGCGGGTGGAATGGGTGCGCGAGATCAAGAGGAAGCTCCGGGACTGGCATGGTTGGCGGTTGGACCTGGTGGACAGTCGGGCTGGGGCGGAGGGCGCCGGCGTCGGGATGGGCGAGATTTTCGAGATTTAAAGACGTCTGTCTATGTGCAGATACGTGCCGACTATTCATTATACCATTATGTTACCTTTGTTCATCGGCTTGCCACATTATAAGGAAGAGGGGGGAGTGCCTATGAGGTACAAACTGGAAGTATTGAGTGTACTATACGTAATGTAAAGTGCAGCGAGTCTGTAAACATTTGGGAGTAACCCTTTCCAGTAAGTTTAATTTTGGCCGTGTTATCGATAAGCGCGGCGGCGGTGCTCCACGCAGGAGTGCGGAGTTGCACCGCGCAATTCGGCCTACTTGGCCTTTCTTCCACCATCAATCCCCATTTCATCGTTTCGTCCCTCCTTTTCCCCCCCCCCCCCTCTTCCCGTTTTTTATAACCGCCATCTGACCTGGAGAGCGAAGGGCTTGGTCTTATTGTCGCTCTCTTTTTATTCTTTGTGTGTCTGCCAATTTAATGCCTTGACCCGGTAACGTTCGCCCTTGTTTGTCCATTGACGGGTGTGTCTGCCTCCGACACGGAAGCTTTTCGTGATGAATGGGTTCGCCGATCACGGCCTCAATGAGGATGCGTTCAGCGAGAAGTCTCAGCTGCAGGGCGGCTTGAAGACGTTTGATGCTTTTCGTGAGTGTTTTATTCCTGACGAATCTTGCTCTACAAACCAGATATCTGTGGAGCTAGCTAGCTAGCTAGCCAGCAACCCCATGCGCCAACCCCCCCCCCCCCCCCCCCTCCTCCCCCGATCAAACCAACCATCCACACAGACCTCCAACTAACTCAGTATGCCCTCTCTCCAGCCAAAACCAAAACCTCATACACGGCCCCCTCCCGCCGCGGCGGCCAATGGACGGTCCTGATCCTCCTGATCTGCACAGTGTTCTCGGTGACCGAACTCCGGACCTGGCTCCGGGGCACGGAAACCCAGCAATTCAGCGTGGAGAAGGGGGTCTCGCACGACCTGCAGCTGAACCTGGACCTGGTCGTGCGCATGCCCTGCGACACGCTGCACGTCAACATCCAAGACGCCTCGGGCGACCGCATCCTGGCGGGCGAGCTGCTGCAGCGCGAGCGCACCAGCTGGCAGCTGTGGACGGACAAGCGCAACCGCGCGGCGTCGCACGAGTACCAGACGCTGAGCCAGGAGGCGCCCGACCGGCTGGCGGCGCAGGAGGCCGACGCGCACGTCCACCACGTGCTGGGCGAGGTGCGCCGCAACGCCCGGCGGAAATTCCCCAAGGGCCCGCGCCTGCGGAGGGGCGACAGCGTCGACTCGTGCCGCATCTTCGGCAGTCTGGAGGGGAACAAGGTCCAGGGCGACTTCCATATCACGGCCCGCGGCCACGGGTATCATGATGCGCAGGGCGGGCATTTGGATCATAATGGTGCGTTTTTATTTTTATTTTTTCCTCTCAGAGCAGAGCATCCGCCCTGCATCCCCCCCCCCATCCAGACCCTGACAACAAGGCGCAGTCTTCAACTTCACCCACATGATCACCGAACTCTCCTTCGGCCCGCACTACCCGACCCTCCTCAACCCGCTCGACAAGACCATCGCCGCCACCGAGCACCACTACTACAAGTACCAGTACTTCCTCTCCGTCGTGCCCACCATCTACTCCAAGGGCACCGCCGCGCTCCAGGAGATCTACACCAACCCGCAGCACGCCCGCGCCAATAGAAATCTCGTCATCACCAACCAGTACGCCGCCACCAGCTCCGCCGATGTGCTCCCGGAAAGCCCCTACTTCATCCCCGGCATCTTCTTCAAGTACAACATCGAGCCCATCCTGCTCCTGGTCAGCGAGGAGCGCTCCAGCTTTTTGGCGCTGCTCATGCGCCTCGTCAACACCGTCTCCGGCGTCATGGTCACCGGCGGCTGGCTGTATCAGATGGCCGGCTGGGCGGGCCAGCTGCTTCGCCGGCGGCGGCGGGAGAAGTCCGAGGGGATGCTGAATGGGCGGCATTTCGCGGAGGATTAAAGCCCGGGGTCCACATTGGAGCGCTGCGTTGGTTCTTAAGCATGAAAGCATCAAGATACAAAGAAACTCGGGATACAATACATATTGAAATATGCTTTAAAAATGCTACTTATCTTGCTACCATTCATCATCCATTATCTTTGTCAGAGTTGCGATTCGTCGGTTAGATCGGACTAACTGCATCAACTCCCAGAGCGTATGTCTGTGAAATGTAGCATTAAGTCCATCATCGCCCGCGAAAATGCACAATATGCATGATAGCCAGACCCAAACAGCAGCATATACAAATTATTCTACATA